AAAAAAATTTGCGGAACGGAGGAAGCAAAATCAAATAGCATCCATTCTAAGATCGAACCGAACTGCTGCCTCTCCCCACTCTAATTGCCCTGGTGTAATTTCATCCATACATCCCTGATGGTTGTGTGAATGAATCGACGGTCCTCCCCTCCCCCATTCCGGAGCCGCAGGAAGAGTCTATTCATCACCTAAAAACACATATTTTACCTTGCTTATTTTAATTCCTGTTGAAGGTATCCAAAATGTTAAGTAAGCAAGACACAACTTCAATGTCGCCAGCGTATTGGCTTGGATCGATAACATGCTAGTGTTTGCGATCGCTGAGGAAGAGAATATGGATTCAGTCTCATACCCAGCAGACTTGGCTGAAGTATCTTAGGTCTCTAGAGAACGGAACGTGTGATCCTCTTCACGAATCTTGATGCAAGAAAATGTGGTCATTCGTTACAGTCTTTCATCGGGTTCAGTGTTCTGCTCGATTTAGGTGTCCGTAGTTTGATTCCCTCTTGCACCAAAGGGCTTGCTGTTGTTGGGTTTCCTCCTACTTTATCATTTCTGAAATGCTCTGGTAGCTAGATAAAAGAGGCCGGTCTGCGTGTCTCACGTATTACTACAGAAGTTAGTTTATTATTCTCATTTTTGCCGTAGTGGTTTTAGTATTATCCTCAAACAGGAACATTGCATCAACAACATAATCGGAGATCATTGTTATGCTACCTACGCAAACTCCAGGAAATCCAATAGAAAAGTTACCCACAGCTACAGCAATCCACTGTCGTTACACTAGGTGCCTTGCAGCCTAATTTTGTTAGAAGTAATGGATGTGTTTTCGATCCATTCAATATAAAAAGCAACAGGGATGTCTGGCGGGAATGACACACCAGTCTGTTGCAGGGCATAACTTTTAACCGTGCCAGCCTTCGGAATCACAAACCAAATTTAATTTAATGTGGTCTTGTGAGTTTCCCGAATCCCTCTCCCTATGGGGTAAAGTACAAAAATTATGGTTATCCCTGAGAAGCCTCCAAACGGTATAAAACCTATCAGTACGATGGGAACCTCGGGAAGGAAAGCTTTTACTAGGTAGACATCCCAGACATTCAAGCCTATCTTTCGTGCTTGGACTAAAGTTTTAGCCGTGGATCTGTGGATTTCGCTATTCCGGAGAAGGTGGAGGAGGGATGGCGTAGTCTAGTCTGATTAGCAGCAACTTCCAACACAGTCTGTTGCAGCCGTTCGATGAGAAGATGCGGAGGGATTCCAGATTAACGAAGATAGCACATTGCCGATAGATAGCGCATGTAAGCAATGTACAACCTACCTTGCCCTTTTTGTGCGCGATTGACGAGAGGCAAATTATGCGAGAACCAGGTGCCGCCTTCTTGATAGCGGGCATCAGGAGTTCGGTGAGGAGGAAGTGACCGAAGTGGTTCGTGCCAATTTGCATCTCTAGGCCGTCAGCTGTCTCGCCATAGGGACAGGCCATGATGCCGGCATTATTGATGAGGAAGTCAATTCGCGTCTCATTTGCAAGTATCCGTTGTGCGAAGGCCTTAATTGAGGCGAAGGAAGCCATGTCCACTTCTTCGAATACCAACTGGAGAGAATACGAGAAGGTCAATATGTGGATATAGTAGTCG